TATTGCTCTGTAGCGCGAGCCTTTACAACATGACTAAATCACCACGAATTGTCGTTCCCCGTAAGTTACCGTGTATTATCAATTATACAAAGAGGAAGCCAATAGGGTTCTTTCCTCAGCAAATGAATAAAAATGAGGAGTAAAATGCATGTTGCTTTCTAATGCAGGCTAAACGAATGATTTACAAAGCTTGTTTTGGTATAACCCAGACACAACCACTCTATTTAATTAGTCATTAATTGGCTTATTTCAGTCGAAAGTTGCTATAATAGATTCTTACCTCAGTGAACTGCTACTCAGGAAAGGGAACAAAAATGAATATATATCTCATCGAAATGGAGTAATTATACTGAAACTGTGAAATTGTTACTGAAAGAGGTACAGTTTGCGAGCAAAGAAAAAGGTAAAATGTGTATTAATAAAATGTGTATTATTATTGTTATTATTTATTTATTTATTTAATTCAAGAATTACGGAAGAAATAAATGTAACTTGAAAGCAGGAAAGCATATACTTTAAGTTTTACGAATTTCGGTTGAAAAAAACGCATCTTGCGTGCAGGAAACCTATACAGGAAATTCTCGATTAATGCAAATGCGATATGCGCAATAACTACTTTTATCGATTGCATGAAATGATAAAATTTTGTCCCATGACGCGAGGGATTAATTAATTACAGCGATTAAAATATGTTTCGTAATATTTTTATCGCTAATGAGGTGAAATACTTGCTTTAAAGCCAAAAATGTTTAAAATATTTTTTTTAAATCTTTTGCATTAAAGAAACATTTTGCGGTGCGTGACGATTAATGATATAAATATTCAATAAACACTGCTTTCTGTACCAGAATTTCACCCTCGAAGGCAGCTTCGTCTCTTGCTGAAGTCTGCTGTCTTCAGCTTGATCTGGCGAAGAAGTCTTAGGATTATTTAACCTAAGAGAAACATACACATTCAACGTTCTACAAAAAAAAGGGGGGATTTAGCAGTATGATCGAAATACTTAAATGGTTAGAAGAGTGTGTACTGAATTTAACATAGCGGAGTTATAAATGTTCTTCATTTGATCTTTTGTAACGCGACAGATATCAATGCGGTTGTGAAATTATTTTCAAGCACATTTCAGCATGTCCGTTTCAAGAACCTCAGCTACTGGTATGAAGCATTGTTTAATATCGTTAGAAATTGTTGGAATTGCAGGAGAAGCCTCGGTCTTTTATACAATCACACAAGAATTTTTCAGATTTTTTTAATTGTAAATTCATTTTATGTTATTCTGATAACATAAGTGACGAGATTTTGATAGTACTCACAAGTTGTGCTTCCGTTCAATTCAAGCCTAACTAAAAAAGCTTATTAAAACCTTCACAATACTTTGTTGTACAATTTCAGAAAGAGGGAGAACTCGCTTAGCAGTGTCGTAGGTTCTAAAGTCTTCATAGGTTAACTGACTTGGTTAGTGTAAGACTAGTAGGTACCCGATTCTCAAAAGAATAGAATAAGCGAATGTGCTACCGTATGAATTGCATGGAAAGAGCTAAACAGTAGAGAATAAATTCAACTTTAACAATGTATATACATTTTGAGAGTTGGCAGTAAGATTAAACGAAATTAATAATAAATAAACAATGCTAAATAAAGTTTAAACGAAGACAGATCAATTATTTCATTGTTTTATTTTAGAACATAGCTCAGACTATGCGCAACAATGAGCAGTAACGTAAACAAAACAAATTAACTCGCGAAATTAATTAAAAACATTACTTTACAAAATGTTCCGGCTTAAAGTATTGTCAAACATTTTTTTTAAGATTAATCAGCATTGATCATATGGTGTGTTCACTCCCTATAATTTTCTCTTCTCCTTTTCTAAAGTTACATGAATGCATTTTTTAAGGGTGACTGAAAATTCATTAACCTAGCATGAATAATATTTACTCAGTACAATTAGTATAAGCTTACAATTCAAATTAATTTCAATCAAAGAAAGAGTATATTATCGCAGATAATTATGTTTTATTCATTCTTTCTGCCTTAAAATAAGTAACCACAAAAATGTGTAAACCGTAACTGAAATAAAATAATTTATTGTATCCTATCACATTTTATTTTCTATTTAAAGAAATAATACTTGGCCTTAAATCTGATGGCTTCTCTGTGATCTTTCTGCGTTAAATTCACCTTCCATTTCATGAATATACTCAAATTCCTGTGATGCAGCTCAAAAATATTTCTACATACATAAAACAGTTTTCATACTTAGGGAGAAACAAAATGGATTAATAGGTTATACAATCTGTTTTAACATACCCACAAAATCGCTTTATTTCCCTAAATTCTAAGCGGTTTCTTAAAGAACTTATAACATTGACCTTCTCAGTTTTCTTACACAATGGATAATGTTCAACAACTGGAGGTTATGTGTCTTATACTCTTACAAAAATACCCAAAAAAGACCTTTTCTTCTCCTCTTCTCACTGTCAATGTCGATAAAACGTGTTTAAAGGGGCAGTGCAGACGTACTTGCAATTTCACTTTTCCTCGTCTTTTCTTATCTATTATTATTATTTTTTGATGCTTTTTCGCCTTCTTTTTCTACAAGCTAGAGATCTCAGGCTTTTCTCCACCCTTAATGTGCCTAGTTCGATCTCTTGTTATAATAGAAACTGAGGCACTTTTTTTTAATCTTTTTAAGGGATGTTCTTTCGCTATCTACGGTAAAATGGTGATTTGTCATATATATACCGATTATCGGTTTTCTGTTAGAGAACTCTTTTTAGCCTTTCGCCATAAGTATTGTGAGTGATTAGATGACATATGATGCTGAATAAGACTGTAGATATTCTCTTTTCTGAAGCTTTTCACTTTTTTTTTTTTTTCGGAAATATTTTTTTTCTGCAGATCTTGGTATGTGTAATATTTTTAACTCCGATGAGATACATAATCTCGTAGATTAAGTGGATTAGATTGACAGTAATCCAAATAAAAACCAGTTTATCCAATGAAATAAAATGCAGTATATAATCAGCACGTTAAGTTTCCTTAGTATTGCTGTGAAATATGTAATATTTATTACACAGTTTTACAAAACGACGTCATTATAATTATCAAAGTATCACACCGTCAAACATCAAAGAAACTTTTCAACAAGTCCTTTTTGTTTCTGGATTATGTGTAACATCTAACAATATGTCGTATATGGCACTGTATAATGAAAATTTCGGATATTATACTCTTCTACTGCTGTATTGAGAAAGATTCATATTTGGCTAAAACCATAGTATATGCAGTCTAAGTGAACTACACATTGCTGGCCATTAAGATTGCAACATAATGAAGGAAAGCAAATACAAAAAAGATATTTATTGTACGTAAATAGTATGGTATGAAGATAAAATAATTAAATTTGTAAACAGTTTGGGGGTTTACAGGGGTGCGAAATTAGTAGAACCATCTTCCACCCTTGGCATCTAAAAGGGCCCTTACCTGATTAGGCATGGCTTGGATGGCAGAAACGGGCAACTCATTCCATGCTGTTTCAAGTCTATGCTGTACTTCATCAATCGTATTAGCGGGAGAAGGGTGTCGGACCAGTCTCTCAGCAATCCACGACTAGATCTTTTCAATGGGTTAAAGATCTGGAGATCGTGCAGGCCAGGGCAGCAATCGAATACCCTGTGTATCGAGGAAGGTCAGAACAAGACGTGCAGCATGTGGTCTTGCGTTATCTTGTTGGAAGATGGCGTTTGGCAGGCCTCGAAGATAGGGCCCAACCACTGGACGTAAGATGTCAGAAATGTTCACATTAAATTTAATCCGAACTAGAGACGTGCGTGTCGTGCACCCAATGGCTGCCCAAACCATTACACCAGGTGCAGGGCCCATGTGCCGATAGCGAATGCAAGCAGGTGAAGCGCGGTCTCCTGGTAGCCTCCAGACACGTATACGGCTATCAGAATACTGCACAAAGAACCAGGACTCGTTTGAAAAGACGAAGCTGTGACACTCCTGCATCCAGTTTTGTCTTTCGGGCACCAGAGACGCCGTTTCTCTATACGTTGCATTGCCAAGGGAAGCCGAAGTAATGGTCGTCGTATTGATTATCCACGCGGCTGCCAAAGCTCCATTTTCTTACTAATGGTCCGTGATGTGCATGTGCAGTTTTGCAGCGTTGGCCTCACAAAATGTCTGTCCTCTTGGACGTCAGTCATAGGAGGGCGTTGAGATAATGCATCCCGTTCAATATGACTCTCAGCAACCCACTGATTCCATATTCCCATGACAGTGGTTCGATGTTGACCAGTGCAGCGGGCGATATCATGGAACGATAATTCACACTCTCGATAGGCAACGATCTTGCTTCTATCGAAATCCGAAACTTGCTGGTAAGCATTTCATCTTCTTATTTCGAGGCATTACACGATATTCTGAGCAAACTTCGATCTTATTAAGCGTTTTCTGAGTGAGAAATCTACTATACAACTTTTCTTTTATGAAGATCTACCTGCTCCGTTGTTTAATATACTGAACTACTAATATTTTGCATATCCCAACCTCTTCTTCCTTTCATGTGGTTTTGACTTTCGTCAGATCATTTCTTCCTGGATCAGATCGTCAGATCATTCCTTCTACTTTAAATTTAATAGCCAGCAGTGTAGTAGCTGAGCATTTTTTAAATTAATGTTTGCTTTTATTGGGCCATTCATTGACTAAACTCTAGCTTAATTTATCCGGTTTTCAGTAGAATATTTGACTCAGGCTAAGTCTGCTACGTATTCTATAATATTTCGTTGTATTTAATATCCGTAACTTTATGACTGAGATTTCACTTAGCACACATACATGCAAAATTTATTTTACGCACTTATGTTTTAAAATCATGCCATATGTATAATGGAATGAAATGGTAGCTAAAAACGAATTAATATTTAAACATTTATAACTTCTTGCCAGTTTACAAATTTTGAGATTTATTTCAACTATATGCATATTTTTTTTAGGATATATTCACCTCATCAACAACCAACGCCGTTACCTCGATGTGACACCACAGCTGCCAGTGGCCCACCGCCGCCTAGCAAAGATCTACAAACTGTTGGAAGTCTTCATTCTTCAACTACAGTCACAACAACTATCTCTGCTACGACAAATAACAGCACGAGTTCCAGCGCTACTGGAGCAACTTACAGCAATCCAATTCCTGTCTTCTGTAGTACACCTAGTTCCACGACTGGTCCTATGGTACCCATTGCTAATTGTGTTAATCCACAACTAATACAACCACCAACAGCTCCCCCAACATCTGGGGGCAGGAGGCCTTTTATGGCTACTACATCCGCCTTCTCTGCATCAGCAGCAATGGCTTCATCAAGGTTCCACTTTCGAAAGAATTGCACAAGGAAATGCACATGGAAAATTGCAACTATTGTGCTTGGAATTATTGCAGTAGTACTGTCTTCTTGCGTTGCTTATTTTGCAGGTGAGTAATCTAATTTTCTAATTAAAATATTAATCACAAGTTTTTCAAACGTTAGCTAAATACATATTGAAACGACGGACATATATACATATTGGACGACATATTGAAAAATTTAGAATAGGTATAAATTAATTACAAATCTTTAAAACAAGTTAATGAAAATCGTAAGAAAAGTGGAATTATATTTTCAGACTAAATTTGAATTAGACTCAGTTCAATAAATTTTATTTCATTCATGCTGTCTATTTTTTTTTTTTTTTTTTTTTTTTTTTTTGGTAGTTTACCGAATGAGCTTTAACATGGTAAGGAAAAAAAAGCTTCGAACAACATTTAATTCATTGTTTACAGGAAAGGTCACAAATTGGAGGTACCCGAAGCAATTTAATGTGCCCGAGAATAAATTTCAATTATGTATTCGTTGCACATATGCAAAGATTTCGAGATTTTATTTAAGTCTAAGTTTACCTTGTTTCCATTACCATTAAAATCGAGCATGGATAAAAAACAAGAACATCTATAAATGGAGTTAATTAATTTACAATACGATATAAATGTTATTAAAAGATTTAATTAACTTCAAAGATTCAAAGATTTCATTCGTACTTGCCAGAAAATAAATACCCTCAGTAATGAATATTTGCGCTGAAAAATAACCGCTTTATTGTGGATACGTAAAGAGCTTTCTTTCCATAGTTGAAAAAATAAGAAAAGAATCTGAAGAAGATGATAATCTTGAAGATCTTCATGATGATAATATCTTTTAATTTCTTTCCAAGGTTATAAACTTTATCAGAATCGAAACGCCATCAAGTGTCAAGCAGTAGTAAGAAATGAAATTTATTATAAGTATGAACACGTAAACATACGTATTTTTACTTATGGGTCGAAGAAAAATTTTAAAAATAAGAGAAAGAGATTAGTTGTTTTTCCTTATTCTCGAGTTTTGTCTCACTTGAAAGATTTATTTTGAAATTCAAAAAGTTTCTATATTTTTTTTAAGTTTAAATTATTTATTTGATGATTAATTAAGCAATTTAAAACTATTTTAATTAAATGTTAGCCTGAAAATTTATTACTTAGTTTTCGGTGTATTTTAATAATAAAGTGCAATAAAAATGGCTCGCTTTAGTCAAACTTCAGATTTCAGGTAGAAATAAATATAGATTCGAAGTCTTCTTTTATGATATTATTATTGTTATTATTTATGTATATTTTGATACATATTTAGTGAGTGAGATTAAAAATTTGCTTTAAATATTTTACTTTATTCATCAAAAATTTTCATTTTGTTTAAAAAAATAAAAAAAATAAAAAACAACTTTTGGCTCGTTAGTCTTTGCTTTTAGATCGTGCATATGACCGCGATGCGATTGCAATTTGAATTTGCAACTTCCGGTTTACAGTATAAATTATTATAAAACTGATCATTTTGTTATACTTTTGCATTTGTAATATAATACGATAACTTGTGAGAAGGAAAGAAAGCATACCTATTATCATATTTGTTTCGAATTAAAATAAAGTATGTATGATTTGTTAAGTGTATACCAAAAAAGAAAAATCCATTTGTCATGCAATGCCCTAATCTTATTATATTTATCTAAAATCCTAAAAAATATTTCTCCGAATGTTTGCTGCAAAACATTTCACTAGTTTAAATTGATTAAAAGTGATCTTCTTAACTTTGTTTCATAGCTGTGTTTGAACTATAACTAAATGTAAATGCAAAAATAAATCACAGTTTCTTTACATCTCTTTATTATCAGGTTAACCTTCTTATTTAGAACCAAATAGCAGCATACAATGCAAGAAAAAGAAAAATCCAAATGCATACATTACATAATTAAATACATTTTATACATACATTTAAAGACGTTTCTAATACTAAGAATATACTGAAAATTCACACATTACATAATTACATTTAATACATACATTTAAAGAGGTTTTTAATACTAAGAATATACTGAAAATTCTAAAATTAGGTCGTAACAGCCATACCCTTTAAATGAAAAGTATTTTAAATATAAATCTTAAGAGGTGTGAAGTTAGTCCATCTGTCTGAAATGCAGTTTTTTAAAAGAATATTCTGCGAAATAGAATTAGTTTTCTTAAAGCATGTGGACCCTCAATCAGCCTGCTTATCGCAGTAAAGAATATGAAAGAGAACACTTTCATAACTGCGCCTTTACTAAACGGAGACATTAAAAGACAAAGCTGCAACTGGTGAAAAGTATATTTCGGGGTCTTTGGGCAATATTATGAATAACATCGAAACATTTCTGAGACACATGCAATTGATTTTGAATGAATTCTATATTTTTAATTTAGAGATTTAATAATTTATACAGTTCTTTCATCAAAGTATTCTTAAAAACTGAAAGAGTTATTATTAGGGTATCATTTTGCAGGCAGAATTTTTTAAATATAAATTACAGTAGTCCCTTAAATCTCTAATTTAATTTGCCTATATCCCTTTCCTATCCTAAACCTAGTAACTGTTTGTAACAAATATCTCTTAATTGCTTCATTTAAAATTGATCCATGTAATATGATTTTTACATAAAGCTAATGATGCAGGCACTTACATGAACGCTTCAGCGAATAAGGTATTTCAAACCTAAACATTTTACCAATAGCCAAAAGGAAAATTCAGGATCCATAATTCTGAAACATATTTCCATCTTAGATACCTCGCGTTAGCTCTGCTTTAATTGATAACTAGTCGTTGTTTTACTTCGGCTTTAAAAGTGTAAAAGTCTCACTTACTGCGCCACTATACCTTTGTCAACTATAAAAGGAATATTAAATCTGTCGCTACGACTGGGGGGGGGGAGGTTAACGATTTTATTCGTCAAGCTCCTTTATTCCGCAAATTATGTTCTCTGTCGTATCATTTTCTAAATCATCACACACACGCCTAAATATATATACATACATAGGGTGTATCAGTACAGCGGTGACAAACTTTCAGAGGAGATAGAGTACACATAGACGAAATCAATAGAGTACAATCAGAAAGAAGGACACGAACATGGTACGGAAACATGTTTATTGTGCTTAGTACAGCAGAAATCAAGAAATAAGGGGAAAAAAAAAAACAGACAACGATCGTCATCAAAGAAGGTGTTCGAAATTACGACCGCGGACTATGATGCGGGCGTCACATCTCCAGTGCATGGAAGATGCATGACATAACGGTTCCTGCATATTATGGTCCAGGGCCGTAATTTCGAACACCTTCTTCGATGACAATTTTCGTCTATTTTTGTTGTTATTTCTTGGTTTCTGCTGTTTTAAGCATAATAAACATGTTTTCTCACCTTATTCGTGTCCTTTCTGTCTTGTGATTTGTGTCGTCACTACCGCGACAGGAAAGCGTTTCCGACCATGCATTGCTATGTAATTTCCCATTGTCTGGATTACTCTATCTCACCTGAAAGTTTGTCACCGCTGTACTGATTACACCCTGTATATAGCGAAGCATCATATCCCTGTTTCGATCCCAAGCAAATGGACTGGCTGGCAGGGTGTGTTTTCGTGCTTTTCTTTCACCCTGTGTAACGTAATTACGAGCCATTTTCTCGTTTTATATCTAGGTTATCCTCAAAGGCATCCCTGCCCTTAAGCTCTGCCACATTTAATTAAAATAACCTCACCGAGCTATCACATCTGATCTACTGTTAGCTAAATGCAATTTCTAAGTGACAGCATATACCCGATCCATATCAGCAAACATAACGTTTGCGTAATCACCACTCTTATTATTTCAACGAGGAAATGAAGTCACGAACCAATGCCTCTGACACACCCGTAAAAATTTTTCGACCGTGAATGTTATGGGATTTGAGTACACCTACCTATGAATTTCTGACCGTGGTGCTGAGATACCTTGTTTATGTGAATTTTAGGAAATACTTGAATTAAATCATTGTCTCTAGTCTGTGGAAAACAATGATTATTTTCATGTGATCTTATGAGCGAAAAATGAGGATTATGATTTAACAAATATGAAAATAACAGTTTGTCTTTACGTTTATAAAGAAAAAAATTTTTAAAAAATGTTAAGAGAGCATAAAATATTTAACTCAGTTTACAAACAGAAACAAAATAAGGTAAGAAGTGTGGAATTTTATTCAAATTTAAGCGAATGCTTTTGATGAAGAAAGTGAAATTTCACTATAATAGCCTATAATTTATGTTCTTTAGCAACTTCTCTGGTATTTTTTAATTAATTTATTCAATAAGAAATGTCAGACTTCGTACTGATAGTTAATATATTATTTTATTTTGAGAGGAAGTCATAAATGAATTGATGTTGTTACTAATGCTCACTCGTCTGACCTATAGTCAGCTACCACGCAGTTCCTCGTGGCAAGGAGCGCTAGTTTACACCTGCCGTTGGCAACAGCCTTGAGCACCTTACAGGTGACAATGCGGTTTAGCTCTTCCACCCCCAATATTGATGGTGAGCAACCGGGGGGCAGGGTTCTATAGTCTCCCACCCCTCTTCTCCTACCACTAACCTCTCCGGAGGACTTTCGGCTCGGCGAATATTTAGAGTGCTCCCATGCCTCAAGGCTATTATACATTTACAAATAGCCATGCCTTCTCCGGGATTCGAAACCGAGCCCTTCTGCGGCACGGCAGTCAACGACGCTAACCACCATACAGGTTCGGCGGTAATTGGATGTTGAACCTATGCAAATTTCAGTATATTAAACAAAATCAAAGAAAACGCTATAATTCCAGATTAAATCTGCAGCGTTTATCAGCCTGGATGATGAATATCTCTTCTGGAACCAAACAATAGTACAAAGTTTACTCTTCTTGACCAAAGTCAACTAGCATGGGAACGTCCAAGTGTTTGCCCATTAACGCGATACTAATGCGTTGCATATGTGGTTTTCCAATAAGCGAATAAAATTGACTTTGATTGAAATCTCTGATAGCACCAGAAAGAGTAATATTTGACCTTGAAAGAGTGTAACCTTAGCTTC